ACAAAACATAGTGTCTTGACTTTCTTTGCTCCTCCATCTCTGTTTCCTGCAAAAGTCAGCCATATTTTGGCTGATTCCCAAATCTGTGTGCCAAGGGCAATAGGGAGAACACAAGAAGGAATTTTGCAGTTGCCCATACCTGCATGATATGTTTTTGTAAAAAATCAAGATGCAATAAATAAATTACTGGATCAGCTAGGTTTCCTTGCATTTCCTTGACTTGAAAGCACAAGTTCACAACCCTGCCTCACTGCTTGCCAAAAGCATCATCCTTCATTCTCCTGTTTCTGACAGCCTCATTCCTGCTAGTGTTATATTTAGCCTACCTGGGATTTTGCCTGAATCCCAGCTGCAAAACCTGTAGGACTAACCTATTTGGGAGAATGCGAAAATGGGAAAGGAGGGAACATTGCAGGGGAAGGAGGAGGGCAGGAATTTTATAATGAAATATAAGTAATGACTCACTTGGAAAACTTGTTGGGTTGAATCTATTGTGATGGGAGAGGACAGAAGGAATAATAGGATTCCTTGCAACGTGGGAGACACAGAAACTCAGCAGGGAATCTTCCTGCCTCCCTAGATTCCTCTTTGTATGTTCAGTAGGCCTCTCCGCACTGCAAGCACAGATCAGTTTGGAACCATTTCAATTATCCTGTCTTCCCCCATAGTAGAGTAGATTCCAAGAGCCAGCATTGTGTAAAGGTTTGAGTGTTGGACTATGACTCCGAGGTTCAATTCCCTACTCGGCTATGAAACCCATTGGGTGACCTTGGGCAAGTTACATTCTCTCAGCCTCGAGGGAAGGCAATGGCAAACCTCCTCTGAACCTGTCTTGCCAAGAAAACCCTGTGATAGGGTCACCTTAGGGTTGCCATAAGTTGGGAATGACTTGAAGGCACACAACAACAAACAACAGAATAGATTCCAGAGAGCCAGCATGGTGTCGCGTTTTGAGCATTGGACTAGGACTGCATCTGCACTGCAAAATTAATGCCGTTTGACACTACTTTTAACTGCCGGGACTCAATGCTTTGGATTTCTGGGATTTGTCGTTTGATGAGGTAT